TAGCACCTTGAACAGTGGCTGGCACGACGTAAGTTCTCCAAAAGTATTTGTTTAATGTATGAAGGTCATTAGTGATCATAAGAAGAGCTACCTCTTAGGTAGAAAGGTAAGAAGAGTGTAAATGAGATAAGTACTTTGTACATGTTAATGCACGACCAATGTTAATTATTTACATTCACATCATACACCCATGGATATCTGTTGGAAATAATTTTTTTTTTTCAGTTGGAGTCTTACTCTGTCGCCCAGACTGGAGTGCAGTGGCTGTTCCCAGCCACTACAGCCTCGACCTGCTGGGCTCCAGCGATCCTTCCGCCTCAGCCTTCCAAGTAGCTGGAACTACAGGCGCGCGCTACCACGCCCGGCTAATTTTTTTGATTTATTGTAGAGATGAGGTCTCGCCAAGTTGCCCAGGCATGTCTCGAACCCGCGGACTCAGGCAATCCACTCACCTCAGCCTCCCAAGGTACGGGATTACAGGCTGAGCCACCAAGCCCGGCTGGAAATAATTTTTAAGTGAGACCTGCGAGAGGGGAAGGAGAAATTCTAGTTAAAAGGGATGGCAAGGAAGTACATGGTTTTGCAAGTCAGCTTCAGGCAAGGTCAAGACAGTTGATGGGAACACCCTGGAGTTTGGCCCAGATATCAAACTCCCAGGCCTGCCTGGAGAGTAAAGGGATGGAGAAGGAAGAGGGTGGGAGGTAGCTCAGACGAGTGGGTTCATGCGGGCTGTGCACAGTCTTCTGGATGGCTCTGAGAAAGAGCTCCAGGTTACAGACCATCGCATGCGGGTATCCATCTGAGTATCACCAGCAGTGCTCAGCTCCCAGAACAAGAGTCAGGGCTTACAGCTTCTGTCTGTCTCTAAGGGCTGGATGTGCACACCCTAAAGCAACAAGCTACTCCAAGTCTAGCGAAAGAAACTCCTGTATATGGTCACATACTCTTTAATAGGATGCTTTGCTATTCAAAATACAAATCTTTATGGGGGTAACAGCACCACAGTGTCTTTATTATGCTGCTTTGTGTCTAACACATAGTGATGTTATGTGTTTTTTTCATAGGTTGGAGCAAAAATTAATCACCTACATCCGAAGGGTCAGTATCATTTACAAAATATATCTTACAGTGGAAAAAAATTTAATTTTAAAGAGACACTCTAATTCTTGAAGCCAGACAGAATAAGTAGTTCTCAAAAGCCTTGGTATCCAGATATAGATATTTGATTAACTGGTATAGACACAGCTGATGAATAAAACTCTTTTGTAAATCGTATCATCTTTGAATTGTATAACCCAAAGTTGATTTACATGGATTTCCCCTAGACTTAACTATTGGCTTCCTAACACTCATTAAACCATCCTGGGAACAGAGGTAAAGAGGCTGCATTGCTGCTACTCCTGCTATTGACAGTGTGAACACAACGCGGGGAGATGTAGAATCATGTGATGGAATCATGTGATGTCACAGAATGCTTTCCAAATCTTTCTCAATTTCAGAGAGATCACGGTAGTAACCTCTACCATACGTGCTTCGGCATGTCTCTATAATTTGTCATTGATATCCCACCTGGAGTTTGAACTTTTCTTGCTACACTTGTGCAGATGTGACCAAGGACCTCTAATGACACTACTTTCAAAGACTCTATATACTAGGCCCTAGACTCTATATACTACAGTGGGATATGTTTGTGTATATCTATGCATAGATACATTAGTAAACATAAATATGCACATATATATGCTATGTATGTATATATTATGAGAGAGAAAATAGAAAATAAGCAGAAAAGGACAGATCCTAATAGAAAGAAAAGAAGTGGAAGGGAATTAACATTCATTAAGCTTTTGCTATGATCCACGTATCCAGGAATGAGGGCAGTATGAGGAACAGAGATGGGGCACACTTTTATCTAGATGTTCAAGAATGAACGTGTAAAAATCTCCTTCCCTAGCTGGGCTCAGTGGCTCAGTCTGTGATCCCGCGCCTTTGGGAGGCTGAGGTGAGTGGATTGCCTGAGCCCGCGGGTTCGAGACTCGCCTGGGCAGCGAGACCTCATCTCTACAGTGAATCAAAAAATCAGCTGGGTGTGGTAGTGCGCACCTGTAATTCCGGCTACTCGGAAGGCTGAGGCGGAAGGATTGCCGGAGCCCAGCAGGTCGAGGCTGCGGTAACCGGGAGCGGTCACTGCACTCCAGTCTGGGCGACCGAGTGAGACTCCAACTCAAAAAAAAATCTCCTTCCTTAAAGGAGAATGCTGTAAAATGGATGCTGGCAGCCTGTCAGGGAATGCTTGTCAAGGCATTCTGAAGGAGAACAGAAGGCTGTGGGCACTGATTTTGGCTCTGTTTCCCCTAGGTGCTGGGCTGCTGTCTCACCATGAGATGAGTTATCTTTGAAGTTCTGCTGAGCAGTCTAGATAGGAGATTTAAAAGTGCAAGTCCCTAAACAGGGTTCAGTTTCCCAGAATACAAATGCTCAGAGAACCAAAAGAGGTCACAAAAAAAGCAGCCCAAGACATTTCTCTCTAAACCCTAGGGAATGTCAGTAGTATCCATAATTAAAAGGATTCTGGAAGGCTATATATTGGAGGCTTATGGGTATTGGTATCAGTTTTTTTGTTTTGGTTTGGTTTTTTTGGTTCACTCAAAGGTCCTCAAAATTTCTGTAATTGTATCTTGTGATTCCTCTGAGGCATTTGAGGTGATGGGCAGAGGGAAAGGGTGACCTTGTAGAGTCCCTGGTCAGGCAAAGGTAGGGTCAGGTCCTGCTGGACTTGGGATATGACAAACAGAGAGGGATAAAAGCAATAGCTATTTTGGAGAACTTTAAAGTGAGACTTCAAGAATTCTTGTTTTGGGATTCCTGGCCAATTACAGGTTTTGCTTTGATGTCATTTTTGCTTTCTCTACTTCCACTGCTCCAAGTCAAATCAGCTGTCCTAGCGTTGTCAGGTTTATTCTAGAACACTCTCTACTTGTATTTGCATTAGGGGCTAGAATGCATCATTCAGTTCAATTCTCCATCATTCCCTATATTTGCACTCCTTGCCATATAATTTTGCAGTGCCCTCCCACTGTGACTGGGGACCTGCTTGGTCCCTGGACTTTGGACTGAGTCATGTAATTTTCTTTAGCCAATACGATGTTTAGGAGATATGACACAACTAGAAATGGAATTTCTTTAACACTGGGGCTTGTTCTTCTACCAAGGAAGAATAACAGACACATGGCAGCGGCAAAGGGGCCCCAATCAAGTCTACCATAGAATAGAGGCCCCAACAAAGTCACAGACACATGAATGAGCTCAGTTGGTACAAGAAGAAGCACCTAGTCCAACCCAACTCAAAGTGGCTGAACCCGGTAGGTGTGTGATAATATTGCTAAGTGCCATTGAGATTGTGTGGTTGTTTGTTACACAACCAAAACTAACTGATAAAAGTGCCATTGATCTATGTCCCTCATGTCTGCCAGAGCAATATTTCTAAAATGAAACTCCAATTATCTTAAAATTATTTTGCCTAGGACCCTTTAACGACTTTTTGTTATGAGATAAATTGTGTTCCTCACACTCCAAATTTGTATGTTGAAATCCTAAACCTTAGCACCTGAAAATGTGACCTTATTTGGAAACAGACATTGAAAATCAAATTAGTTAAGATAAGGTTATACCAGAGTAGCATGGGCCCTTACCCAATATGACCATGTTCTTATGAAAGGGGAAATTTGGTAGCAGACATGCACACAGGTAGAATGCTATAACCAACATGAAAGTAGAGAATGGGGTGATGTGGCTATAAGCCAAGGAACACCAAAGATTGCCAAAAATTCTCCAAAGGCTAAGAGAAAGAGAGCAGATTCTCCCTCCCAGCCCTCAGAAGAAACTAATCCTGACAAGACCTTGATCTCAGATTTCTGGCCTCTGGAACTGCGAGACAACACGTTTCTGTTGTGTAAGTCATATCCCATTACCTTTAGAATAAAGTCTAAGTTCCTTCACAAGGTATGTATGCCCTTTTCTGAGCTGGGCTATATCTATGGCCTCATCCCTTCCCGTATTCCATTGACCTTGCCCCATTCACTAGCCATGTTGAACCATTTACAGAACTTTAATAGACTGCTTAAGAAACTTTGTCCATGCTGATCCCTTGGCTTCAAATGCATTTCCTGCTACTTGCATCCTCCACTACACCCCAAATCTAGTTAACTTCTCTTTGGATTACAAGTTTCAAATCAGTCATCATCTCTGGAAACTTTCTCCTGACTTTCCCAATCCTAACTATGGGAGGATGCTCTACTAATGCTCCCCAAACATACTATACAGATATTTCTGAGACAGCACTTACCATGGTCAAACTGTAAATAATTGTTTGCTACACATCACCATCCTTATGAATAGACCTGATAATGAAACTCTTGAAGGCAGGGTCATGTGCTATCTGTCCTTGTATTCCTAATACCTTGGCACAGAGTGGCTGTGCAGCAAATGTCTGTGGAAGGAATCTATGTGAGTTCATAAGCAAATATCCAAACAAATGTGTTCTTGGCATACGAGAGATACATTCTGCTTGTGTGACAACTGGCAGTTGAGTTTGCTTGGAATCAAAAGCACCCAATTAAAGACCAAACATCACTTCCTTCTTCTTCATTTCCTTCTCTCTTTATAACTACCCAATCTCACATGCTTTATAATGCTTTTAGATGTAAGTGACTGTGAATTATTACCGAATGCAGGCCTTTCATCTTCAAGAGTGACAGGCTAAGTTCCACATCTCTCAGGAGGGAGAGACTATTATAACTATATTTTTGCTTACCAAGAGAATTGTTAATGGTTATCCTGGAGGGGAAAAAAAAAATCTATAAATATCCCACCCGTAATGAAGCCTTAAGCTTACTTTCTTCCTTTACTAATGAAATTCTTTCCGAGTATACTGCCAGAATCGCTACATAACTATTACACCAAGAAAAGAGACACAGACTGTAGTGAGTTTTTTCTTTTACCTGTTTAGTCCTCATTTTGGAAGCCAATGACAGATTGTTGTAGGTATAATGTGCCTGTGTGACTCCACAGAAAAGGACAGCAACTATCCCTGAAATTAAAAAACAGATCAGTCAAAACCAATTTTTCTTTCTCATCTTAGTTAAAGGGTAGGGCTGTCCCACCTGGAAACTAGATAGGGTGTCAGCAGAGTTAAAACTGCTAATAATTACCATGACAATGAAACCTGGGTAAATCTTGCTACTTACTTTCAACAGGGTCTTGTGGGGTCAAGCCTAAAGAAAAGCACTAAGAAGTAGACTGTAAATAAAAGTGAGATGTAGATTCCTAAATGATTCCCAGTTGTGAGTTAGAAAAGTTACATTTGTAAGCACATGAACAAAAGACTCTGCATAGTCAACTCTGGGTTTTTCATAGCCAGTGCCAACTGCTTTGCTGCATCTTACACTAAATACTGGCATATTTGCTCAAAGACAGTCGCTTTCCACTGTGTACCTAGGGGAACCTGAAGAGGTTCCTGTCATACCATGAGTTAGTATTAAAAGCTATGAGTCACAAACCTAAGACACCTACAAGGTTTTGTTGCCCTGCCAATGCTCCTACTTGCCAAGCAAGAGAGAGAAGTCCTTGTTTGCTTGTGTGACTCCTTGGCAAGGCTTGGTGCTCTGTTCTGGGGTTGCCATCATGTAATGAACACACCCAAGGCTCATTCTGTCAAAGGCAAACAAGTCTGTTCATGTGTCTTCCCACCAGCAGTGGGCCTTCAGCTGTTCCTTGGCCAGCTTCAGGGTTTATATCTCAAACTACACGATACCAGCTTTAAATGCGACATGAAGTTACATACACATGAGATGCTTTCTAGGGACAAGGAAATAGAAACCCTGAGACAAATGTGCTATTTGTCCCTGGGCTCTGTTATTGTCCCAGGGCTGGGGTAGGAAAGAGGTGGGAGCCACGCTCTACTTTGGATTAAAGATTAGATCAATTATGGGAAATTTGGCATAGAGAAGAGCTTTGGGAAAAACACAAGATATAAGTATTCCTCAACTCAGACCAAAGGGATTGAATTGAATTTTAAGCAGCAGAATCTTTCCAACTAAAAACACTCATAAATTAAATGCTGATGATTCTTAAGAGTATAGAGATATGTGAACAGAATACTGACATTTCAAATGAATCTGCAATGAAGAATTTTCAAGAACTGAGCTTATTTTTTCATATGTAGACTGTACGCTTCTATTTACATGTTGGCTATTTTTCAGGTTAGCATTGGATAAAATATTACTAAGGCATATTTACTTAATATAAGTGCATAGAATCTATATAACTTATTTCCTTTAAACATTATGCTTCAAAGGTTTTGACAAAGGAATAAAAACAAGTAAAAAATTTGACCATGAAATTTATCTTCAGTGTTTCCACAGATATTTTTTTGTAACTTTTCAGTTTCTTAGCATGTCTTCAAAAATTCTAAGAAAAAAATGCTTATCAGATATTATACTTTACTCTTCACAGAATTTCTATTAAAAAAGAAAAAAACCCAATAACAACAACAACAACAAAATAGCAAAAGGAGGATTACCCTGCATGCTGTTTCTGGTAGCAAATATTTCTCTTTATTGATTTAAAATGTGATTTATCTATCTCTGTCAAGTCTGTAGTCTATTGGGGGTTTTTCTGGGTGAGGTTTTGCTGACCCTCTTATTGCTGTGGAACTGTTCTGCCTATATATTGATCTGTGGAGAAGTAGTGAATAAAAGGGCAGGTGTGAGTGTGCACAGTGAATAAACTCATTCTGAGAGCAAAAACAGGTAACAGGGAAGTATTGTAAAAGGCAGGTACTAGGGAATTAAGATTGGTCAAACACCTACTGTGGTCCAGGAATGGTGCTTGTTATATTTGCACCGCCTTATTTATTGCAATGATTTACTATCTCACATTAACCAGCCACTCCCACTGCCGTTCCTCTTGTCATTTATAGCATCTCCAGTCTTCTGCTGGTCAGGCCAAAACTTGGGGATCACCCTTTACTTCTTTCACTACACATCAACGATTTTGTTGTCTTGTCCTTCAAAACTTACTCTGAACCCAACAACGTCCCAACACCCCCATCCCCAGCATCCTTTTCTAAACTACTATATTTTTTAGCCTGGATTATAGCAATATATCCCTAACTAGCCCCCCTGCCTCACATGGTGGCACCCTGAAGTCGATTTTTCACCCAGCAATAGAGATTCTTTAAAGGTTAGACCACTTCAGTCCTTGGCTCAAAACTGTGTAACGGACTCCTGTGGCTTAAAAGGCCCTCCAGAATCTGGTCTGTCCCTTCTCACCTCTCCATCATTTGCTGACATCATCTCTTACCAGATTCTTCCTCTTGCCTCTCACTACCACTACTCATGTTCTACCACAGGGCCCTTGCACTTCTAGGTCCTACTGTTTGGAAAATTCCTCTCCAGATAACCACTTGACTTCCTCTTTCTCTAAGACATTTGTTCAGATGTTACAGTATCAGACAGGCCTTCTCTATCCACTCTGTCAAAATTATCCTTTCTCGTCATTCTCCATTTGCCTATCCTGCTTTGTTTTTTCCATATTAGTTACTGCCACCTAACATTTTGTATATGTATGTGTTTATTTTCTGCTTCCCACACTGTAATGCAAAGCTTACTGAGTGCAGGGGTATTCATTGGTCCCTAACCCTTAGAGAAGCACTGGGAACATGTTAGGCACTCTGTATTTTTTTAATAAATAAGTGAACATTCCTACTCCCACTAAACAAGTAAGACCCTAAAGTAATTTACTCAAGGTCACCTTGAAAGTGGCAGAGCTGAGATTCAATATTCCACAGACTCCCTGTGCTTTTCTGCCTATAATAGACCATCTGTGAATGTTTTAGGGTGATCTTAAGTCATTGAGAAAATATCATTTCTGATATCCCAGGGAAATAGCCAGAGATCTGATGACGAAGATTACATATCTGAGTTGGCTGGGCTTGTCATTAGAGGGTATCTTCCTTAGTCGCACCATTGGTTTTTGTTTTCTTGCCTCTAGTAGAACACTAATGGGCAATGTTTCTGCTAAACACTTTTTGAGTTTTGTGTGTATGGATATGTCATATAAACAACAAACAATGAAGAGTGTGTCTATATGACCAGAGGCTTGCTGCTGTAATTAAAATAAAGCAACAAAATTGATCTGACCCTTAGTATTAGCATACATAATCATAATTCTATAGCTTGGTAATTAATTAAATCTCACAAATTACTGTAATTAGTCTGACTTTTACAAGCCAAACACATTTTGAAAATGTCTCATCTAAATACATCCATTATCTATAAAATTCTCTGCCATAGAAACACATTCGAAGTTGACAGCTCTCTACCTTATGGATGTACTCTTTAATTATCATCATGTTTTTCCATACCCTCGCCTGCAGGACTAGCTGTGCTGCAATTACGTGGGGCCGTAGGCAACTCTGAAATGCTCTGGAGTCTCAGGTGCAGGAAAGAGGGGAAAGGGGACCAGGTGCTTATGAGCCAGTCATCAAACTAGTGCCTTGGCTCCAAACCCACCTATTTATTTTCTTTTTAATTTTTTAAAAGATGTGGGGTACAATTCAGGGTTAGGTATACAAATGTTCATCATTCAGCTACCCTTGCTGATGAGGTGTGCCCCTCGTTCCCCTGGCAGTTTCCTGCAACTGCCAATCCCACCCCCGCCTCCCCTGGCAGTTTCCCACTACTACCAATCCCTTTCTAATAGTATTATAATTGTTCAAGGTCCGCTTATGAGTGAGAACATATGGTACTCTGTTCTTTGTTTCTGTGATAGATCACTGAGTATGATAGACTCTAAATCCATCCAAGTTGCCGCGAAGTCCATATGTTTGTCCTTCTTATTGGCTTCATAATATTCCATTGTGTATATGTACCACATTTTTTTTTTATCCAGTCCAACTTCGATGGGCAGCATGATTAGTTCCATGTTTTTGCTACTGTGAATAGAGGTGCAATAAACACGCATGTGCGGGTATCTTTTTTATAGAATGATTTGAGTTCTTCTGGGTGCATTCCCAATAGGGAGACTGCTGGGTCATATGGAAGGTCAATTTCTAGTTCTTTCAGAAATCGCCACACTGTCTTCCATAGAGGTTGTGCTAGTTTGCATTCCCACCAGCAGTGTAGAAGCGTTTCTTTTTCTCCGCATCATCGCCAGCATCTGTTGTTGTTTTCTTAATGATGGTCATTCTTATTGGGGTTAGGTGGTATCTCAATGTGGTTTTGATTTTCATTTCTCTGATGATGAGTGAGGCTGAGCACTTTTTCATGTGTCTGTTGGCTGCCCATATAGCTTCTTTTGAGAAGTGTCTATTCATGTCTTTTGCCCACTTTTTAATGGGGCTGTTTGGTTTTTTTATTTTCGGCACATTTGAGTTCCTTGTAGATCCTGGATGTCAGGCCTTTGTCAGATATACAGTTGGCAGATTTTTCCCATTCTGTGGGCTGTCTCCCTACTTTCTTGATGGTTTCTTTTGCTTTGCAGAAGTTCATCATAAACCCACCTTTCTTTACTGGCTCTGGCTCTACAGACCATGCCCCGCTTTGCCAGAGCTATTGGGCTCTGCCAATATGAAGCATGAGAGGGAAACTAGAACCCAGAGTGGGGAGAGAAGGACCTGTTTCTTCCCATTTGCCTGCTCCTTCTGTCAGCTGCATCTCAGCAATGGCATTTTCTACTTAACAAGTTACCGGGAGATAAACTAGGACATGATTTGTACGATTCAACTATTAAGCCTATTCCCTTACGCATTGTTTTTTGCCTTCTTTTCATCTTTAATTCCTTTAATTCAAGGGAGGCAGGTAGAAATGTGCTCCTCATGTCTAGTAATTCAAGCTTAGACAATTCTCAGTGATACTACAGTTAAGGTACCAGACTTTCATGAGTTAGCTGGTGTAATCTGCTATTCACTCACTCAACTGCTATCTAATTTTATTTATTTATTAATTATTTTTTAATAGCTTTAGGGGATATAAATAGTCTTTGGTTTCATGGCTACATTGTACAGTGGCAAAGAAGTCTGGGCTTTCA